ATTTTTTTGAAATTTCACGATAAGGAAGTCCTTCTTGTACAGATTTTATTATTTGATCTTTCAAAAATGTTGAAAATGGCTTCATACTGTAATTAAACGGAATAGATCATGACCGTTAAGGAAAGGAAATATTTTCAATATGTAAGAAAAAAAACTAAATTGTTGATATCTGATAACAAATTCGAGACGAATTATTGAACGGAATTTGCGAAATTTGCAATGAAGTAACCCGAGACACAAAACTGTTCACATGAAGACTCGTAATAAACTGGCTCAATTCAAAGGTATAAACATAAATAAAGATTATTAGGGTGAATGTTTGTTTACCAACAGTTCAACGAACTCAATCCTATTGCTGTTGTCTGGATTAAAAAATACGGGATTTGCAAACTAGAGATAATAGAAAATTGTTTACTGATGTGAACAAATATGCGAGTCACTGTATATATTAGTATATATCATATATACATATATAATATATATACTATATATACATATATATAAATGTTACATATATATACTATTATTTGATCAAACTGAAAATTGTTTTAGTGTCATGTTGGCAGTTGTTTTGTTCACGATGAAAAAAAGAAGGATAATATAAAAGAATATGAAAATCATAATTACCTAAAATATTCCTTTTTTTCAGCTAGACATATTTATTTGTATATAAAAATTCAGAGAAAAGGAGAATTTGAAAGAAAGAAAAGACATTTAATTCCTTCAGACTCATTAGGAAGTCTTTCAAGCTGCCTTCGAAAATCTAAGAGGTTATACTGACAAAAATATCCTTATAAGATCGGATAGACTAGAAGCCAGATGTGAAAAATCGCATCAAAATTAGACAGTTTATCATCCAAAATCTACAAAACCTGGGAAAGCACAACACCCTGATGATACATTGAGAACCGGGACACAAAGGAATTTTTGGTGACAAAACGGCAGGCAAACTGACAAGAGAGGCTGTGACCCTATACTTGGGATAAAAAATAAACATAGAATCCATCGACTTAGAATGGATTAAAAAAAGATAAATAGAGAAGTAAGTGGATGAACTCTAAAAATGCTAGACATAGTAAGCTTATATTAAAAGAACCCTCGTCAAAACTAGCAAACTTGTTCTTACAGTTAGAGAGAGCTAAATTCAGAGGAGTGATAGGCCTATATACGGGTCACTGTATTTGGTTCGCTAGCTGTTCTGGGTTCGAATCCCAGTAGAGCCCATGGCTTTTTAATTAATAATGAAAAATGTATAGTAAAATGGTTTGGTTGGTCCGCAGTTATAAGTTCAGAAAAAACAAATTTTATTGCTTTGATACATAATAAGGGAAGATTACAGCGTCTGAAGGTGGTGAGACTCGCTGGACGAATGAAGAAGACGAGTGAACGAAAAACACTGGATTTATATAGGGAGTTAGTTCAGGGTCATCTGGAGGCAGTTCCTTCGATTAACTCGCACCACCCAACGTGTTGGACATTCTGTCTGGACTAGTCGACACTGGTATCTGAAAAAACATCTACATAACATGGGTACATTCCATAATGACTCAATTTGTATGTTAGGCAACGAGAAGGAAGAAAGTTTTCGTCGTTTTCGAATGTAAAGTAAATTCCCAAAGGAAACACGACATATAAAACCCAGGGAAAGGACAGTCGATGAAAGACCTCATAATTCTAAAGAGAAGGATCGAGTCAATTGGACTTAGCTAAAGAACTAAGAAAAGTGCAATAAGCCAGAAGGCTGCAGGGCTCGGTGGACCTAAAACCCCAACTTCATAGATTTCCATCACCAGCCTGATAAATCGGATATATTCCTCAAAAGCTTGACTTGAAGGATTGAGTGCAATTTTTGCTTTCAAATTCGCCTTATCCTTGATCTTTTATGGTTAATTAGTACATTAACCCTGATATCAATTACACTTAAAAAATATCTCGATACAATTGATATTAGCTTTTAATATTATAATTTTGTAATAAAAAATATAGGGTAAGGCTAATTTGAAGGCAAAGTAAAATGCTCAGAAAAGGAGGCTACGGTAGTGAATTCACCGATTTTAATAAAACGTTTTATGGGGATACTAGGTCGAAAAATATTACATCTTATTTTAATAAATTATACTTTTTATCTAAGGTTTTGGTTGAGGTGATCCGAGCGGGAAAGCGGGACAAGCTTTTTCATCACAACCACGACTTTAGATAAAAAGTATAATTAATTAAAATAATTAATACGTGTGGTGTTCAGTGACCGTTATTTAATGATTATTTGGAGGTCGTGAGATGCAGTCTGGAGTGACATAGATTTTAGAAAAACAATTTTTGTATCGTGCCAACGTTTCGATCTTATTGAGGTCATCTTCAGGGCATGGGATTTATAAACACTTAGGATGCGAAAAAATAAGAATTTATATAATGCTAGAAAATTTTAGATTGAAAGAAAAAAATTTAGATAAAAAAATAAGTTTATACAATGCTAGAAAAGTTTACATTAAAAAATGGATTTATACAATGCTAGAAAATTTTAGATTCAATCAAAGTATACGTACTCATTAATTATTCCGAAATCGTGAGATGCGGTCTAGTGTGATGTAGGTTTCAGAAAAACATTTTCTTTATCGTGCCAACGTTTCGATCTTTACTGAGACCATCTTCAGGGCCTGGGATTTACAAACACGTAGGATGCGAAAAAATAAGAATTTATATAATGCTAGAAAATTTTAGATTGAAAGAAAAAATTTAGATAAAAAAATAAATTTATACAATGCTAGAAAAATTTAGATTTAAAAAAATGAATTTATGCAATGCTAGAAAATTTTAGATTCAATCAAAGTATATCTACTCATTAATTATTCCGAAATCGTGAGATGTGGTCTGGTGTGATGTAGGTTTCAGAAAAACATTTTCTTTATCGTTCCAACGTTTCGATCTTTATTGAGATCATCTTCAGGGCTCAAAGTATTTGTCTTCTGTGTAATTGTGCCATTCTCGCGTGTCGTGTTGAGAGTGCCAGTGAGATATTGCTGTTTTATGTATATATACGTCGGATTTTGAAGGGGTGGGGAAGGAAGTCGGGATAGAAAGACATTTTTATATGAGGAGTCGGCTTCTTTGAGGTGAAAGTAGCCGACAATGGGAAAAACGTTGGTAATGCTTCGGCCTGATTATCCTTTCAGGATTATATAGACGGGGATAATTAGGGAAAGGAGAGCCAAATTGTTGAAGAATTAGACTATGTAGATATGTTTGATGTGTGGAATGTGATGATTGTTTTATATGTTGTATTACGTGTTTTGTGTGATGTGATGATATATGTATGTTGCATAAATTCTTTTTTTTTCAAATCCAACTTGTATTTGTAAAATTTAAACAATGTTTATAAATCCCAGGTCCTGAAGATGATCTCAATAAAGATCGAAACGTTGGCACGATAAAGAATATGTTTTTCTAAAGCTTGTCACACCAGACCGCATTTCACCACCTCCAAATCATCATAATTAATAAGGTCAATTATGACTAGTAAATGGATATAATATGGACTAATATTATATTCTATCTTGCTAATGAGCACTAGGAGCCGAAAAAAATTAGAGCTATTAATAAAATTAATGAATATATAATTATTAATTACAATTTTTTACAAATATGGTATCTGCCTTTGTTCTGCATGTATTTCAAGGTTATAAAATATTAATTGATATGTTTTGGAATAGAAAATATGCAGGATTATATTAAATGAGATTATGTATACAAAATTTTACAAAAACGAAAAGACGCTTTCAGTAAAGTGTCTATCTTTTGAAAAAAATAGTATTTGTTTTATGCACCCATTAAAGCCCTTAAATAATTTCATGTTAGAATTTTATAGTAAATAAAAAAAAGACATTTTCGGGTTGGAGCAATTTTTTTTTCTCTAGATTTTATACAATGGCACATGGCATTACAACCATTTGAAAGCTTTTCTTCTTTGAGTCTACATCAACAACTTTTGGTGTCTGTTTGAAGTGACAACAGTTAGGCTAAAATTTAAAAATTAATGCTCAAACATTTTCTTTTATTTCCAAATTACTAGGAATTTTAACCAAATTGTACTTAATAAGGTCGTATTTCGTAAGGAATAAGGATGTGCAAAGGGATCTTAAGATCCCTGAAGCACGGCGGAAGTACAAAGATTTAGAAGCTAGAGCCATATGAATTAATGTCGTTAATAATTGTGTGAGTAGTGAAGTGTAAATCTTTTTGTACCAATGGGTTTATAAGAATATTTAAATTTATTTATTGTATATATGTATATCTGTTGATCTTGGCAAACCAATTTGAAATAAATAAAAAGGAAAAAGTTGAATTAAAACATTAAGTAGTATTTATAATATAAAAGAAAGATTTTTAGAAATAGGCAATAACATTTTTTATAAATGATAACAAAAATAATTTTGAATTTGATCCAAATATATTTTTAGGGAAGCAGATGATGTAATGAAACGAATCAAGAAAGTATAAATTCGTGGTGTTAAAGCCGTGTGTGATATGTCTCAATCATGTTGACAGGCCATTAACTCGAGAGATAAATCTCAGGAGGCCTTTCCAGTAAGGAAAATTGCCAGAGGTAGAGATAAGGAATTCGTTTACAGGAGGCGAATTTTCCAAAGATTTGCGCAGATTTTAAAAGAGCGCGAAACGCAGAAAATTCACCACTCGGCATACCTAAAGCGATGCGTAGGAATAACAAACCGAGCCCCCTTTAAAAGTACAAAGGTGTATTGCTTTCAAAAGGGCGCAACTGTCTGAGAAAGTTCTCTTCCTCTCGAGAGGAAAACAAACAAGAACCCTTGCCTTCCCCCCCCGGAACCTACAAAACGTTTCCTAATTTGGAGCCGTTCAATAGAATTTAATATGAACTTCTTCCGGCCCTCGGGCCGAGTTTAATTTGAAATCGCTTCAATCACTCGGAAAACTTGCTAAGTGAGGTAGATTTATGATGTTACACTTTCGTTTAATATTTTCAGAAAGAACATAAGCAGCGAAGACAGCACGATTAGGGACGTCCTGCACTGGTACAATTCTGTTAACGCAGCCATGCTAGTCCATCTGACAGATCAAATAAAGGAAACGGACAACAGCGGAGTTTGGAGGTAATTTTTATTTTATTCCGCCTAAAAATGTCAGTTTCAATATTGTTTTCAAATCACTAACTTTACGAAAGACGAATGTTCAGTTAGTAATAAACTCAACTTGTTTCGACGACAAAACAATGTATCAAGTCACAATGATGAGATTTAATCAACCAAAAAAAATGTTCGTCAATGATATCATCAAATGAAGATCTCAAATTGAATACGACCTTCGAACACTAACAAAATGCAATATGTAGAACTGATTTACACAAGCTCAATTCGAATATACTCAAATATACATTATACACAGGAAGATTTTAGCTTTTGTTCCTTCCACCTGTATGTTTTATTGGGGCGGTTTGTGAAAAATCCCAAAACACGATTCAGCCTGGTGTAAATTTCGATCACTATGTCCAAAGGCAAAAATATCTCCAATTTTTCTCATAATTACGAGACTTTTTAAGATTTGCGCCGTACATCGAAAAACATAAAATTAAAGAATAATTAAGGTTTTTAGTTGAGATAAAAAAGTCAGTGTCATGAGCGGGATCCGAACCCACGACCTTCGGCTAGATACGCCGCTGCTCTACCACTTGAGCTATCGTGACATCGATCCACTCGGACACTAACTTCCCATCTCAACCTTTTGAATTTTCCCTCCTTTTATTATCTCAACTAAAAACCTTAATTAATTGGTCAAGCGGACCACGAAAACTAGTGAATGTAAAACTAAACTTTAGTTAGTGCCATGGTTTTGAAGATAAATGTTAAAACTATATAGTTGTTAAAACTACAAATTTAAATCTTATTCGGGATTTTTCAAAAGCTTCAAAGAGTTTGGAAAACATTAATCTTTTTAAGTTGTGTTTGTGGACGAAATCTGAACCAGGCTGATGGCGCTTTATAAGGTAGATCCAGAATTCCTATTAATCAATGTTATTTGAAGATATTGTTCCGAATTTTGTTTTTCGGCAACACGAACCGAACCAATTGCTATAAACTAAAATGATAAATATGGAAATTGTTGATTGGTAAAAGATTTGAAGAACATTTCTAAAAAGTAAAATGTGTTTTTGCGAATAACATGAGAAAGGTAGCTTTAATTAAAAACCGTATGAATTGTTGATTGGTAGAAGATTTGAAAAACATTTCTAAAAACTGTGTTTGTAAAAAGTAAAAAGTGTTTTTGCGAATAACTTGAGAACGGTAGCTTTTAATTAAAAACCGTTTGAATTGTTGATTGGTAGAAGATTTGAAGAACATTTCTAAAAACTGTGTTTGTAAAAAGTAAAAAGTGTTTTTGCGAATAACTTGAAAACGGTAGCTTTTAATTAAAAACCGTTTGAATTGTTGATTGGTAGAAGATTTGAAGAACATTTCTAAAAACTGTGTTTGTAAAAAGTAAAAAGTGTTTTTGCGAATAACATGAGAAAGGTAGCTTTAATTAAAAACCGTATGAATTGTTGATTGGTAGAAGATTTGAAAACATTTCTAAAAACTGTGTTTGTAAAAAGTAAAAATGTTTTTGCGAATAACATGAGAAAGGTAGCTTTAATTAAAAACCGTATGAATTGTTGATTGGTAGAAGATTTGAAAACATTTCTAAAAACTGTGTTTGTAAAAAGTAAAAAGTGTTTTTGCGAATAACTTGAGAACGGTAGCTTTTAATTAAAAACCGTTAAAATTGTTCATTGGTAGAAGATTTGAAGAACATTTCTAAAAACTGTGTTTGTAAAAAGTAAAAAGTGTTTTTGCGAATAACTTGAAAACGGTAGCTTTAATTAAAAACCGTTTGAATTGTTCATTGGTAGAAGATTTGAAGAACATTTCTAAAGACTGTGTTTGTAAAAAGTAAAAAGTGTTTTTGCCAATAACTTGAGAACGGTTGCTCGAAATTAAAAACTGTTTGAACTGTTGAATTTTCGGGTCTCATGCTGGACCGCAAATTGTTTTGGAGGGAACAAATATCTCAAATTTTAACCAAATGGGAACTATAGTTTAATGTTCTACGATGATTCTCAGCAAATGCAGAAGCAAGGGTGCCGAACTCGAATTTTCACTGATTTCTATAGGCCATGTAGTTTAACGGACTTTGGATCAATATTTGTTGGTAATACGAGAAAGGTTTAAATCGCCCCCAAGTATTCCGCAATGCGTGCGTACGGAAATGCCTGGGCGTTTTGGACATCGAATGCTGTAAACCGCCTCAGACCTTTAGAGTTGAAAGATTAACCCACAACTGTATTTTAAAGGTACCGACAGCAAAACTTGAAAAAGAATAGTCTTTTTAAGCATTAAAATATTAACAAAGAAATTCTGGGCAAAGAAAAATCCCAAGACACAATTCATCCTGGTGCAAATTTCAGTCCACTTTTCCCAACAGGAGAAATATGTTCAATTTTTCTCGAAATGTACTTCAATACTAAAGTTTAATTAGTTTCACAATTTTGAAGATAAGTGTTAAAACTATGATAACTCTGCTGTTAACTATTAACACATTTCAATCCTTTTCGGGATTATACAGTTCCTTGTATCCGACACAACTCCCAGGCATCCCCGAGATACTTATTGCGGAATAGTCCCAGGGGATATAGTTCTCTTATCGTATAACATAAAATATAATAAAAATGACATTTATCCAATCCTGGAATCGGATTATGAATCATACCGCTACTACATCTTCGCAGACGGTTCAAGATCTAATAATGGAGTAGACTGTGCATGGTTTGATCCTAAATGAAATAAGAGTGAAATGTTCAAGCTTCCTTCGGAAATGAGTACCGATTCTGTCGAACTAATAAGTTTCTTGAGTTTGCCTATGAAAATCAGCTAAGCAGTAAATCGATTATGTGATATCTGATTCGAAAAACGACTTGGAAAGCATAAAACCTCTCAATTTAAAATTTAGTGGAAATTGTTTAATACATTGGGTGGCAAACAAAGTATTAACTTTAAAAAATAATAAAGACATAAGATTGTATTGCGTTAGAGGCCATTCCGGATCACAGAAAATTCCACGGTTGACCAACTAGCAAAATGGGCATGAGGGGGGACTCTTACAGTTCATATTCCAATGTCTCAGGGCTGAGATTATTAAAAAATGGCTTTACTTGTTTGATACCATGCCTTCAGGTGCTTTTTATAGTTTAATCAATCCTAATTTAAATAAGAAACCTTAATTCCATGGACTCTAGCCTGGACAAAAAGAGACTTGACTGATCAATGGTAAAAAGGCTTAGGTCCGGTAATGGCATTTGTGTAGATTGCACTACTTGTATGAAATGTATGAAATATTTTGAGAAGAGAGAAGGATTTGGTGTCTCATCAATATATATATTATTACTCCATAAATGGGCATATTTTATGTGAATGTTTAGGTATTATACTTTCGAATGCCATAAAATACTTACTTAAATATTAAATTTTATTAGGTTTCGTGGTCCGCTTGACCAAATAAATTCTTTTCAGTTAATTAAGGTTTTGGTTGAGATAAAAAGTCAGTGTCACAAGCGGGATTCGAACCCACGACCTTCGACTAAATACGCCGTTGCTCTACCACTTGAGCTCGACCCACTCGGACACTAACTTCCCATCTCAATCCCAATAAATATTAAATATTAAATTTGACGATATTAGATATTGCTTGATCGTGTGTTAATGATGATGGAATAAAAAAGAAACAAACAATTTATTGAAAAAGTGAGCGAAATCCTTTTTCGCTTTTGACGAAAAATTATCTGCCCATACGAAAAACGCTTCTCGATTTTCGATTGCGTCTTGTTTAATAAAAGATATAAAACAATACAGTACCCAGTGTTTCCATTTTGAGCTTTTCAACCCGTTTGAATAAACAGAGCTGACCACCATTCCAAGCATTACAGCCCTTTGACATGCAGCGGTTTAAATAGTTCATTGGTCAGCGTGTGATTCGGTTCGACCAACAATGAGTGTTCTAGCATGAATACAAGAACCAATTAATTAAAAGAGGATTGTTATGAAGGCCCATATAGATTCTGTTGCACAACCTGATTTAAATCTTGAATGTTTTGAACTGTGGAGCCAATAGTATTTGAATTTGTCATCACTTTAACTTCATTTAATTAAAGTAACATGTTTCTTTTTAACCTTGCCTAGGGTGATAAAATTTAACCTACAGGAGGAAAACAAAGCACACTTAGTTGTGCTTGACAGTAGCTTCTGGAGGGGATGATTAATCGACAACAAGGGACAGGAAAGAGAAAACAAAGTAACTTGTTGTTCATCGAATCCCTTTTAGCAATTTTTAAAATAATATTGCTTTGTAACAAATTTTGTTTAAAACCTAATAAAATATTTTAAAAAATTTATAAACGAAAGATACAGGAAAGTAAAAAAAGAAATCCAATATAAAAAAAGGTTTTAATTTGTAATTGCGAAAATTTAATCATTTTAAGGGTTGTTTTAAAAGAATATATTCGACGGTACATAAACACGGCGAAGATCAAATTACACATCAAACAACGCACTATCTTCAATCGATAAAGTTGATGTGCTTCGCAAGACAGAAACTTAAATAAGTGATAACTAAAGACCTGAAAAATTATGAAACAGATATAAAGTGCTTATAAAACAAAAATCTACTTCCGAAAAGGAACAATAAACAAACGAAAAATAAATAATTTTCTATGAATAAAATAATGAAATTTAGACCCGTTCTCACGATTCAACTTTTGGTATTCAACAGAAACCATCGGTTCAACATAATTGATCTAATTTTTAGTAATCAGACAAACTTATTCAATTCATGAATCATTTCTTTCAAGTTGAAACTTGTAAACTTCTCAGTTCTGTTTCTTGTAAAACTTTTACACTGCAAGATTTGTTCTTTGTTTATGAAATAACTGGCAAAAAGCTCTTGTCCACCCTGTTAATAAAACCCCCAACCCATCCTCCCCTACAGACTACCGTCCCATTTCCATCCTCTCAAGCCTGTCCAAGCCCCTAGAAAGATTAGTCCAAACCCAAGTCTCCAGGCACCTTGAACAGCCCGATCTTCTCAACCCCCTCCAATCTGGCTTCCGCCAACGTTATTCCACCCAATCAGCACTAATAAAAATTACCAGTGACCTCCACTTAGCAATGGACCAACGGAAAGTTACAAAACTTGTCATTTTTGATTTTTCTAAAGCCTTCGATTCTGTCCCTCACTCCTCTCTCCTCTCTAAACTCGAATCTTTTTCCTTCTCCGCCAGCACCATCCGTTGGTTCCACTCCTATCTTACCAATCGCCACCAAGCTGTCTCCCCTCCTCCTTCCTCCTCTAAAATCTGGTGTGCCCCAAGGGTATAGCATCTCTCCTATCCTTTTTTCCATTTATATCAATGATCTGCCCGACTCCATCCAGTCCTGTAACTATCACCTGACTCCCAAATATACATATCCTTTCACCCTTCCGATCTTCACTCGGCCATTCTCAAGATCCAAAAAGAACTAAACTCCATCAACGGATGGGCCCATAAAAATTCCCTAGTTCTCAGTCCGTCCAAATCCACCGCCATAATTATCGGGTCCAGGCAGCTCCTCAATTCCCTCCCCAGCACCCCACCTCTCATGCTAAATAACCATCCCCCCTCTGCTCTTCGGTTAAAAATCTAGGAGTAGTCTTTAACCAAAACCTTTCCTGGCATTCTCACATTTCCCAAATTTCCCGCCATTCCATTGCCTCCCTCAGCCTGTTTCGTCGGTCCTGGCTTCTCTTACCTTTCTCCATCCGCAAACTCCTTGTATCTTCCCTTATACTTCCCTTCTTCGATTATAGCTGTTTGGCATACGGTGGTCTCTCGGAGAGGGAGAACGCGCGATTGAAACGTATTATGAATTGTTGCGTAAGATTTGTGTACGGCACCCCACGGCGATCCCGGGTGTAGGGGTTGTATTCCCAATTTTCTTCCCTCCTTCCGTGTACAGTATTTCCTAGGTTGCTTTCTTTTCCAGTCCATCCACACTCGTCGTCCTCCTTACATCATCCAATCCCACCAATTCAACTCCTAAAATCTCACTCTTAAGACCCGCTCATCCCGAATCGACCTTATCCTTCCGCAACATACAACCCATACCTTCGAAAGATCCTTTCTGATCCGAGCCCCTAAACTCTGGAACTCCCTTCTCCTTTCTATTCGTCACGCTGCCTCCTTTTCCTCCTTTAAATCCCACCTGTATAATCACCTCCTCTCCCTCCAAGCAGAGACCTCACGTTAACATTTGTTATTTTTGTTTAATATTCTCGTAATTTTTTTCTTCTGTCCTGCCTTATTGGTATACATTGAACCAAGATTTCTTTTCTTTTTTTTTTTTACTTTTAACTTCATAGAAGGAACTTCTTTTATTTATTTCATGTAAATTATTCTTAGGGGAATAAAGTTATTTTTCTTCTTCTTAAAAAATAGCTTAAAAAACAAAAATGAGCTTCAACTGGTCTTGAAGTGATGCTAAAATTTTTAGAATTTTATAACAAGCTTTTGGAATCACCGACTTGCACTTATATAAGATATATTGCATTTTTATGTTTTGAATTTTTATATTATATTTTTTATATAAAGGTTTGAGAGAATTTTATTCTCAAAGAAATGGAAATTGCTGGATTTATTATTATTTGAACAGGAAATTAAGACGACTGGAATCATTTATTAGAAATAATATTCATTGCTTTTCTAATCAAAGTTGATCAATTTTTGTTGAAACATGTGAACAAACAAACAACCAACAAACAAAGGAAACAAGAAAACCTGATCATTTCTTAATCTAACCAAAGTTGAATAGGGGGCGTCGGTGGCCGCAACGGAGGCGTTAACACGACGCTCATCACTTTAAGGTAAAAGTCCCGGGTTCGAAAACAGCGGCCCTGCATTCGAGCCCGACATACTTATGGCTTTTTTCAAAAACACCGGCACCAAAAAAAGTTTAATCATGAGAACGAGACTTGAAAAAGAGTCGAAACTAGACAGACCAAAAATTCAGTTAACTAAAAACAAACCCATCTGTAAAAAGGCAGTCAAAAAATGTTTACTTTTGTAATGTATCTTTTTAATCTGTTAAGCACAATCTCTGTAATTAATTATAGCCTAATATTGTATTATAATTTATTTGTAAAAGGGTATTATTAGTTTTTTTTTATCAACTTCGTATGAAGTTAGTTTGACGCAATTTTCATTGACAGATAAGCAGCATTTGGTCGCATTTCGTCCACGGTACGTGAATCTTTCCCCTTTTATGAATGTATTTATTTGCGTGAGTGTGGCTGTGATTGAATATCGAGTAACATTACTGTGATAAGTTTAAAAAAATCTCAAAGTAAAGAAGAATTATTTATTTTTATATTTAATTCTACATATTTGTCTAATTGCAATTAATTTTTGTTTAGTCTTCTAAAAGCCCAATTACTTTATATTTAGTTGTAGGTTTTTCTAAATTGCAAGAATTTTACTTTGTGTTTACATTTCGTACCATCCCTTAGTTTTTGATGTTGTAAGAAAAGGATTCTTTTAAAATTAAAAATAGTTAATTTTAAATTAAAAAGTTAATGGGAAAGTAAAACCGGTTAATTAGATATTAAAAAGAATACATTTGAAAAAATATTAATTTATAATTATAAAAGGGTTAATGTCAAATTAAAAAAGGTAATTTTTCGGAAAAAAGCTATCATGCAGGGACGTAATTTTTTAGCTGGTTTCCTCAGGTCAAAATGGCGTATATTTTGGTTAATCAATTCGTTTATTTTTGTTTCATTTGTCTAGATATTTAATCGCATTCAAGAATTTGCTGAGAAGCATCGAACATTTAGGAATATCAATGGTGAACGGCATCAACTTTTTCGGCCGTGGTAAACTTCAGCCAGAAAATTACATACGTTTCGTCCAGGACACCGTGATCGGCCAGGACCTCCTGAACGGCTCTTTCACCTACTGGCCATATCTCAGGAGTCTTCACAACAACCTCACGGCTCGTATGACCCAGTACGACCTTATGCAGCGCAAGTGGGTGAAAAAAGAGCGAGACGACACGGCGGCCAACGTTATTTCTAATAAATGGATGTTTTCAGGCAGCAGAAAATCCTAAACAATATCCGGCAGAATTCGAGCGTCGAAGAGGCCAAAAAGTACTTCGACTTGATGGCGAAGTACGTCGACGTACTGAGGTCGCTGCATCAAACTGTCAGAAGGCAAATCAGGTGCTCGACACATTTCATTTACGAAAATATATTGGAAAAATAAATTATTTAATACATCGCTTAATTTGTAAAAGACAAGGTTACTTTTGACACTCATGATTGTATTTTTACATTTAAGAGATTATGTCAACTCGGATCTGAGAGACGCCAACCAACAGGAAGCAGTTGGTATAACAATACTCGTGATTGTTTTATTCGTTTCCCCGATAATAATTATTTTGGTGAGAAACGCCGTGGCCACAATTCAGGTATTTACTCCGATATATGACATCGATAGATATTTTAATGTATTTTTTGACAGATGTATGCAGCAAATCTAGCAGAGAAAGCGAGCGAGCTGAGGACGGAGAAACACCGAAGCGATACGTTGCTGTTCCAGATGCTGCCGCCGAGTGTGGCCCACCGACTGAAGCACACTCAACAAGTAATTTTCTAGATGAAATATCAACAATACAAAAATAAACGCGTTTTTTTCAGGTCCCTGCTGAATACTACGAGCAAGTCACAGTTTATTTCAGCGACATTGTGGGCTTTACGGAAATCTCGGCTATTTGCACTCCCTTGGCCGTAAGTTTGGAACGGTGACGGTTTTTTAATGTTGGCTCACAAATCATTTTCCATAGGTAGTCATGTTCCTGAACAAAGTGTACAGGCTGTTCGATGCTTTGATTGAAAAATATGATGTGTACAAGGTCGAGACTATAGGTGACTCTTACATGGTCGCCTCTGGACTCCCGGTTAAAAATGGTAATGGAAAAATCAACTGCCTAAGTTGTTTGTTATACAAACACGATTTTTTATACACACTGATGGACAAATTTAACGCATCACTCAATTTATTTAGTTTAACATTAAATTCATTATCTTTCTACATTAGTTATCGGTAATTAGGAGCTATCGAAGTCAAAATAAACAATAATTAATGCGTTGTTTACTTTTGTACTGATTAATCCCATTTGTACAAAAAGTAGCATTACTCCCTTTCATTTTGCTATGTCTAAAGATCGCTTTCAGTTAAACTTTTTTCTTCCTTGATTTCATTTCATATTATTCTTATTCTTAATCCATTGTATTTCGTGGTCCGATTGATCAAATAACTTCTTTCTATTAATTAATCTTTTTGTAAGGTATTGGTCGAAATGAAAAAAGTTGGCTAGCCAAAGGTCGTGGGTTCGAATCCCGCTCGTGACACTTTCATTTTGACCAGTACCTTATTCTTAATTTTTTTTTCAAAGGAGCCAGTCAGGCATTTGGAAGCAAGGATATAGCCAGACGATCTGTAGGATATAGGCAATTCAGAGAAACTGGGGTTCACACTGCAAGACGAGAATAGGGTCTACCTAGGTTTAAAGAGAGAGATATAGATTCATTCATCAGGCTCTACAAAACTGCAGCATTACAGGAAATGAGATAAGAAATCTGTAAGACAAGTCTGAAATATTTCGATTTCCTCCAGGGCAGTAAGAAAAAGGCTCAATGAAAATAACATCACGGCCTGGCACCCGACTGATGGACCTGTTGTTACCATACGGGGGCTCGCGAATTGGACTTTGAAAGATTAGGGACCAGCTTTTTACAGATGAGGTGAGAGTTGGCCTCAAACCTTCAGATGGCCTTAATTTCATTGAAGATGATAAGGAGAAAGGTACGCCCCATGCTGTATGGTTCCTCAGGTGGGTCATTCCATAGTGGGTCATTGATGTTCTGGGATATTCTTGGAGGGCCACACTGAATTGGTTGTTGTGCAAGGAAGATTTCTAACTTCACAAGAAATAATCGAAGAATATGTAGTGCATTTGGCCCCCACATCGGTGAGAGATTTTTGCTAACGCAGGATAATGTCAGGCCCCATAGATCACGATTGTGGAGGACTACTTGAATTAGGCTGGAATTGAGTGTTTGGTGTGGCCAGTTCTAAGTCCAGATTTGATTTCAGACCAACTTAACCAACGAGTATGACAGCAAAACCCAGGACGTAGAAAACCTGAAAACGGCTGTTCTTGATGAATGGGAAAGAATTCATCAGGATTTTAAGAGAAATCTTTTCAAAGGAATGCAAATGCGTTTAGTGGACTTAATGGTATTAAAGGGGACAAAAAAAGTTGTTTTTTACATTTTTATTTTTTTGAATTTTCTGTTTTTTTGTTCTTACACAATATTTTTTTTTAAATAATAATTTATGTTTAGGTAATAAACATTTTCTTTTTAAATGTCTTATTTTTACAACCAAACCTATTTTGGCATTCAAAATATGAATAAATCTAATAATATTAAAATTTAAGGGTGGTGCGTTTATTTTGTCCATCAGGGTTTACATGTGTATTTCAGTTAAACTTATCATTAGTTATTCCTATCTCTTCCCATTTTCCTTATTCGAAGGGAATGAACATTAACTTACAAGTGTATTTTTTCCAATACATTTTATTTATTAAAACTGGTCATAATATGCTATTACATAAATTAGTATTAGCCAGTGTAATATTAAAACTATATTTTCCCTGTTTCAGACTTTACTATTTTCAACCTAAAAATAGTTAAATAGTTTAAATGGGTGGTCTGTGAATTGATTGACGGTTGTATGATAGATGCATTTTTGTTTCACGCCATCATCTGTTGTCACGTCTCAAGAAGATCAGTACCTAATGAAATATGGTCTGATGATAAATTATGTCTGACCAAAAGGAAATGGAGAAAAGGCAGAGCAATGATTAAATATCAATAATATTTCAATTGTTACGTATTTCACCAAAACAGATTATCTCTTTTATCCAAATAAGAAGAATATTTTGGAGATTCAACAATTCACCAACTCACTCACAGACCTTCCAGTATAATATCAAGAATATCCGACACTTATCCGTTTGCACCAATTTAATTGTGTTGTGGTTTGAAGGAAAGAGGCATCTGTCAGAGATAGCAACAATGGCCCTTGACCTACTGGATGGATCAACATTGATACTGCTGCCGAGCAAACCGACAGAACGGCTGCAGATAAGGTCAGGAGTGCACACAGGACCAGTCGTCGCAGGTATTGTGGGAACCAAAATGCCGAGGTACTGCTTGTTCGGTGACACAGTGAACACAGCTTCCAGAATGGAATCTACTGGAGAAGGTTCAATTACATTACACTTCTTTTATCCATCATCTTATTTAATATTTTCTTCCAGCGCTGAAAATTCATATTAGTCTAGAGATGAAGAAAGCACTCGATGAAGTGGGTGGATTTAAAACAGAACATAGAGGATTTGTTGACATAAAGGTCCATTTTTTTAGCTGTTTACTAAGAAATATCACTAATTCATCTTATTTTTTGTTTATCAGGGGAAGGGAGTTCTTGACACCTACTGGTTAATGAGCAAAGATGGAGGTGTGCGAAGAAACACTGACACAGATTTCACACCATTTACAGACGACCATGAACCAATGTACCTGAAACGGCTTAGACACTGATTCTATTTAAAAATTAATAAAACCAATGTCAAAACCAGTATTTATGATATAAGGATGAGAGTTCTCAATTTTACAGTGTTCAATGTTCGGTGTTTATGCATGTACTAAATATTCCTATAAAGGAGAAATGTATTCTAGTCATAAATTAAACAATTGTGATTTCATATTCCAATGTATGATAACTTTTAATAAAAATATATTTTAATTGCACAAGTTTTCTTCTGAGCAGAACTGAATATTTGTTTGTTTTCAAAGAATTTTGATCATTTTCAGCATACTGTTTGAAAAATAACTTTCTTTTTCGTACAGGCTACCTTTTTAATGGGACAACATAAAATAACAAAGTTGTTCAATCTACTATCTTCTGAATTACACAATTAAATAACATCTGGAATTTTTTTTATGCTTTAAATAATAAATATTAGTATAAAAATTATAATACAAAAAAATCATTACCATGGTAACATCTTTACTAAATTCTCAATCTACACTCACACACATACACCCATCCTTTTTGACACAAAAACAAAAATTTTAACGTAATCACCCTAGTGCGTTCTTATTCAAAATGATAAAACATATCAGCCTTCTATTTACTGCATCAAACAGATTATTACAGACAAATGTAAGTAGAAAAGAAAGCATAGATTTTAAAATATTGTGTTGATGTCAGTGAAGAGCGTGCAGCCCGATCATCTCTGATCATGGCATTGTTCGTCAGAAATGTTTCAGCATTACAGCATCTTCATTGATTGGTTTGTAACTTATAAAAAGCAAGTGATGGACAAACAACAAACTAGTTTTTACGTCAGTCAATTTTGACAAATAAATTAAGTCCTTTAATAAGTGTAAATCATATTAAGCTAGATATTAAAATTTAATTTGTCGCAAAAAGAAAAACAATATGTGTAAAAAGTATGTGTAACAGATATAAAGGCAGTACTTCACCATTCCACCAATACTAGGGTCATGGGTAATGGGGACTCCCCAAAAAAAAAAAAAAAAAAAAAAAAGGCAGTACTTTTAAAGGAAGTCAACTAATTTATGATATAAGCTTTTTTTCTTTTTTTTCAACTAAAGCTTGATGGAAAGGTAATCTATAAAAACAAGAAGCTAGAAAATGAGTAACAATTAAAACTAGACATTGTAATTACAAGTAGTAGAAATTACAGCCTATTAAACATAAGTGCATTATTTATTTTTAATAATTACCATCCTGAGCTTTTTTCTTATAAGCACTTCTTATTCCTTCGATCTGCTTATTACAATAATTTTAAGATACTTATCTTACTTTATAAGACTATAGTTAAACTGGATTTGTACTTACAACAGGACAGAATTCTTCTTTAATTTACCTATTTACAAAAATTTTAATAATTTGATTACAGAATTACTTATGCAGTAAGAGAGCATGCTTTAGCAAATGGAACAAATATAGAAATTGTGCTCCATTTCTAAAAACGATTTTGCCACCTGGCATGCAAATGGTGAAAAATGCTAAACTCCACATTTATTGCCCCACCTTCAGGAGTAGAAAGAGCTGGTGCGATGTACAACTTGTGGCAAGCGATGTAGCCATATCGGATAACGTCATGCTGGTAAATTGCCCTTTTCTTTTTAATCTTAACACAATATTAATAAATCTGTCTATAAAATAAAGGTGAAAGTGAACATGAAAGGCTTCAAACATGAAAATATCTCAGTCAAGGTTGAAGGCAACTGGTTACTGATCGAAGCACATTCAAGCGTTGTAAACAATGGCAATTCTCCTTCTTTTAGTCAAAGGCATGTCATGAGACGCTATGAAATTCCATCCAATGCTGCATTAAACGGCATCAAATCATCTCTTGACAAAGGCAAAGATGTTCTTTTAGTAACAGTACCAAGAAATAAACCAAGTGATAACCAACCAAGTAAATCCGAAAAACCGTCTCAATAAAAAAATAATTGAAAACATTCAATTTTTAACTCTTTTTGTTTTTCAAAGTTGGATTTTAAAAAACATGTGAAATATATATACCATAAATAAAATAAAATTTCTAAAAAGGAATATTAAATTTTAATTTATGATTTTTTTTTAAATAAATTAACTTCTGTCTGATTAAGTTTGGAAAGGAGATCAGGATAACCAATCATGATTATGTTTCTTGATTTTTTTTATTTCTATTTTTTGCAACTTGCTTAAAGGACTGCAATGCATTTTATGGCTTTGAACCCCCCCTGCAGATTTTTGTGGAGTATTTTTTTGTTACTCTAACAAATAACAAAGTTTTGAGTAACATAAAATTAATAGTAGAGTAACAGAAAATCTGACTGATGAGGGGGTCAGACAGACATGGTCCCAAAATGCATTGCAGTCCTTTTGTAAATAAGAAATTTTAACAAAATGAGTTGCAAAAAATTCTAAATAGATATATTATAATACTCTATTTCCATTAAAAAAAAAGAACAACAATAAGAAAAAACAACATATAAAAACTTATAATTATGTATCAGTATGTAGACAAAGATGATATCAAAATTAAATTTGGAGGGGGATAGAGTTTCAAGTCCAGTTCCTTGATAGTATCGCCAAACCAAATTAGGCACAAGAAACATATCTCGATGGCCTCCCTTGTATATAAAAAAGTAAAAATAAGCTATAAGATTTACAGTTGTGCTTTTATTAAAGCTAAAGGTGATCTTTTTAATTTTAAATTATCATAAAAAAAGAATTTCAAGATTGTGAACTATAAAAAGTAACTAATTTACATTTTTAAAATTATGGTGCAATTTATTGTTGTTACACCAGTGTGTTGGCAATGAATTCTCTAGTATACTACGGTCTTTGATTTTGTAGGTTTATAGATGAATGAAAAATTATATGTCGAAAAAAAAGGAAATATCATTTATAAAAAGTTTAAAAAAGAAAGGCCAAAGTAGTAAACCTTAAAGAACTCCATAAGGGACAGAGTATGTTTGGAGATGTGAAATATTAATTTGATCATTTCACTTCTGCCTGTTAAAAAAGAAGAAATCTATTTCAAGAGAGATCCATGAATTCCACAATATGAAGTTTGTTAATAAGTAAAAAGGTTGAAAAGTAAAGTAGTTTGAAAAATGTTTGTTCGGAGTCTGAAAGACTTAAATATGCACCACAGTGTCTCTTTTTTAAAATAAACTGTTACAAAATATTCATGACTGAGGACTACTGTTTTAACCACTGTGTTAACTCACCTGATGAAGGATCAAAATAAATCCTAAACTTTGTGGATTGAAAGAAAAACTGTTTTTTTTAATGACCTATTATCCCACCTTCGAGAAGGAAAAATCATAGATTAAACTGTTGAGGTCAAAATATAAGAAAACATCGTTACACAAAGAACATTACGAAAAATGCCTAGAGCAAGTGAGATGTTTTATCAGAGCCATGACTTTTGGATTTAACTTTGTTTAACTAATCAATAATATTGTTAACCTGAAAGAGTATTGATAAATATATAATTGAGAATCAGATCATCCCATAATTAAAAAATTAACAAAATAAAATAGAAATTATAATTTCAAGATTGAAGTTGATAAAATCATTATAAGCAAACAAAAAGCCTTACAAAGTTATTCAAACATCTATTTCAGACTTAAATTATTTTAAAAAAAACTATATAAACAATTTCTGAAAGCTGTTGCAATGGTTAAATATGAACACTCTGGTCTTGGAGAAGAAAGCAAATTGAGTTATTGCTGCCAAGCTTTCGACCTAATTTTAGGTTATCATCATGGCACAGTACTTAGCAATTATGGATTAAGTCAGACTTCATGAAAATTTGAGATCGCCTGTAAAAAAACTTAAATATGTCTATCTGTTGACATATTTAAGATTGTTTTGCCCTGGTGATGGCTTTAAAATAGGTCAAAAACATGGCAACAATAACTGCATTTGAATTCTTCTTCAAGACCATACTCGATCCGGAGTGTTCATGAGTGAAAAAGTAGTCAATTTCTATTACTTAAAATGGCTAAATACACAGAAAACTTGTAAGCAATAAACAAGAGAAAAACACTTTTTACTCTATCAGTAAATGCATCTATCTTAACTTATTTTAGGTAATAATGGTCCAAATTTATTAACCATGTAAAAAATCCTCTAAATTTTAAATCTTTAATATCCATCTTTTTACTTTTACAAAGATATAACTACGAAACCTGCATTAAATATCACAAAAAGATCTATGTTTGAGGTAAAATATAAAAACTATAATTTGGTCGTTTCTGATTAACCTGTCCTACCTTCACTGGTTTAGTATGTCAAGATATGTTTCAGCAGGGTGGTAAGTTTCTGATGTACACAAAAATCCTACAATTTAATATTTTAACATTACCTACAGATTTAAAACAGTAGTATGACCTGCTAGGGTCCTACTTTAACTGGCTTACTAAAATATTAAATTGAGATAGGTGTTATTTCAGAGATCTTTTGAATTTCTTTTGTCGACAAGAAAATTTACATCACTTTGTAAAGTATATTGTAAAGGTGTCTTGTCAATCTACAAGATTTATTGGTTAGGAAATAATGTGTTTTATAGAAAAAGGATATTGACTTACCGGGAAGTAAGAATTATTTTCATGGAGCGTCAACCTCCGCCCATTTTTTTTGTTCTCTTGCACGGCTATCGATAGGAACCACGCGATGGTCATGGGAGCGATTGGAGTCTGAGTTCCCCTCTGAAGATTTAGTTTGTTCAAGTTGGTGTGATGAAATTTTTTGTAAGGAATGTTTGGTTTTGACAATCTCTGCCACCTTGGTGAAAAACACAGATTTTTGAGACGTTGAGTGTTTTTGGATGAGTTGTCTGAATTTGGTGTGTTTCACATGTTGAAGCTGTTCCACTGAACAATGGGGGTGAAATGAAGATGTTCCCTTTTTTACGGTCTATTCCTGCGAAGTGCGAGGTATGTCCGCGGTTCTTGTGATGATGTGGTGAGGACTTGGGTAGAACTTGACGTTGGTCTACTGGACTGCTTCCGTTTTGTCGAGTTCAAGGTTAAAGGTTGTCGGGAAAGAAGGTGAAAGAAGGTAGTTTGGTTGGTTTAGGAAGGTAGTTTTACGAAGCGGGAGGAATGTCCTTATAAATATTTTTTCAAATGTTTTAACTGTGAAACATGCGCTATAATAACTTTATTTGTTTATGTTTACATTTTAGAATGTAATTAACTTTAGAGAGGATTGCATCAGTATAAATATCACCTTTGTACAATATTTCGACAAGAGCGAGACATTTTTTTACTAGGATAATTCAACTACGAGGTTATATGAACCCTCGGGGGTGCCAGTGATTTTGAAAAAAGCCCATTTGTAAGTATGTGGGTGTAAGCTGGATGCGAACCAGGGACAAATTGGATTGGCTGGCTTGCGTCTTAACGCTTTGGTATGAACCTCACTTATCTTACGATAAAAATCGAGTATCTAATGTTTCTGCGATAAATATCTTACCTCTCAGAAGTGAACCTGGCCTTAAACGAACTACCAAAGTTAAAATGGGGGAGGAGGATATTCCTCGAATTTTATAATTTTATTGATTTTTCTATAGTCACATACTAAAGGAAATGTATTTTTTTCTGGTTATGTACTAAACAGGCACGACTAGAATAAGCTGAATATGAGGAAACTATAGTTCCTTTGTTTAGCAACTGATCAATAATTTTTTTTTCAAATTTTAACTTAATTTGGTGGTAAAAATAAAGGCCACTAAATCGCCCTTCCACGATAGAAGAGGCCGGAAAGGCCGACAATCACGTTTTTGTTTAAAAAATAATAATAATAAAAAAGGTGTACACTATTTTAAAAGACTAGAACTTGTTGTGACATGTTGTTAGTACGTCGGCTTCCATAGAAAAGGTTTATTTTTATTACGTATATTTTCATTAGGTATTTTTTACGTATAAATTTTCCGAGAAACACATGTCCGGTCTTAAACAAAAATAAAACTAATAAAAACTATCTATTACTTTAAATGTGTAGAAATTAGTGACCGTTAATCGATAATTATTCAGATATCGTGAGATGCGGTCTGGTGTGATGTAGGTTTCAGAAAAACATTTTCTTTATCGTGCCAACGTTTCGATCTTTTATTGAGATCATCTTCAGGGCCTGGAATTTACAAACAATGTTTACATTTAACAAATACATTTAGGATGTGGAAAAGTGAATTTATACAATGCAAAATATATTTTATATTCAAAGTATTTCTACTCACTCAAAGTGTTTGTCTTCTGTGTAATTGTGCCATCCTTGCGTGTCGTGTTGAGAGTGCCAGTGAGATTTTGCTGTTTTATGTTTATATATGTTTGGTTTTGAAAGGGTGGGGAAGGAAGTCGGTATATAAAAGACAATTTTGTGTAAGGCGCCGGCCGACAAAGGGGAACAATGTGTTAGAGCAATCCCAGGCCCTGAAGATGATCTCAATAAAAGATCGAAACGTTGGCACGATAAAGAAAATGTTTTTCTGAAACCTACATCACACCAGACCGCATCTCACGATATCTGAATAGTTACTTTAAATGTTACTTGATATATGAATATAAGTGTTCACTTTCGTATGTGTGTTTTTTCCGTTTTTATGACACGATAATAATGAAATCACACATTTTCGGATTATCTGGACTTTCGATCATCCGGACAAGTCCCGGTCCCTTGAAGTCCGGATAAACGGATTTCTACTGTAATAATAATAATAATAATAATAAGCCAGCTTCTCATTGGAACGTCGCGATGGCCGGCGGACCGTGGGGTTCAGTTTTGCAATTTGTCGATAGACGTGGTGTAGAGCTCCTTCAACTTGATGAGCTGTAGGCTCGAAATCCGGATAATCCGAAAACAACTTACTGTGAGTAGGGAATATCTGTTTAAAAAGATTGTTCTACCTTTTGGTTGAATAAAGAGGAGCTTTTTGAAAACTCAGGGACATCCTGAAGACTTGCACGG